GCTTTTTCCCATATGCGTCTTAAGCAAGACGCAGTACGAGTGAAGTATCGAAAGGGAACTGCACATTTTAGAGTGGCCTTTTCTTGTGGCCAGCCTAAGGCACACCTGTGTAATAATCATGCTGTCTAATCAGCATCTTGATATGCCACACCTGTGAGGTGGATGGATTATATCGGCAAAGGAGAAGTGCTCACTAACACAGATTTAGACAGATTTGTGAACAATATTTGAGAGAAATAGGCCTTTTGTGTACATAGAAAAAGTCTTAGATCTTTGAGTTCAGCTCATGAAAAATTCATTCTAAATTTAAAAGAATAGCCATATCCAATAGTCCATATCACAACTAATGGCAAAGAGAAATCTTTAGAATAACTTTCAGAATGTTTTTTTTTGTTGTTGTTGTTTGTTTGTTTTGTTCTTGTTTTTGTGTTTTCAGCATGATAAAAAAAAAAAAAAAACATTGAACAGCGAATCAGAAGCCATCCTGTCTTAAAGAAATTGAATATTTAAATCAGCAGACAACAAAACTGCAAAACTGTGCTAATAATATACAGAATGTTATCATCTGTTGGTGTGGACGATAATATTGTATATCATTACAGTTATCCACAAACAGTGCTGGGTAGATTACTTACAAATTGTATAATTACAAATTACATGATGTAAATTGTAGTTTGCAACATGATCTGTTGGATAATACATATTAGCTAATGTATTCATGGCTACTTTTTGATTACTTTTAGATTACTTTTGAACTAAAATATATTCCATTCTTTGTTATCAATATCATAAAGTGCATTAAAAAAATAAATCTTGCTATGGTTTCCCAAATGGGATTTAAGAAAGAACTAGTTTGTGAGTTGATGAAAAGGTGGAATGTTTCTACATTTTTGGTTACATTTTTTTTGGAATGTAACAAAAATTAAAGTCTAATTTACTTGGAATCTGATTACGTAATCCTAACCAGTTACTACCCAGCACTGTCTATATACTGTAGTGTGAATGGGCCTGAAATCTGGTCTGCACCTTAAAGGGGTCCTATTATGCTCTTTTACAAAGTCTTGATTTTGTTTTGGTGGTGTACTAGAACAGGCTCTCATACTAGGTTGTTCGAAAAACACATTATTTTTCATATATTTTACATTATTACAACACCTCTCTCCCCAGTCTGGCATGAACGGCTCGAATAGTTCCTGTATCAAATGAAGGCCCGCCTTCTGAAATACGAAATGTGCTGTGATTGGTTAGCTGGGCCTAAATGTCATGAAAATGTCATTGGGAAATGTCATGCCCCTTACCATAGTCGCCTGCAAGCTTCAGTGTAAATATTGCGTCAAAATCAAATCAATTTGAGCGTGATTTAAACCCGGATGATTGTAACCACTCTAAGTTCGTCTGCCTTGGGAAAGCTAGCGTGTCTCCGACATAGTGATAACACTCGTTGCCTTCTCTAGTGCAGCTCAACCAGGTCTCGTCCCATTCGTCGATATTTGTGATATCACAAATCTTGGAAAATATGCGTTGTAGTCCAAACGAGTCATTCGTTGTAGTTTTTGAAAAGTGATTTCTGTTAAATAAAATATCTCCTTTTGAAGTGAGCTTTGTAACTTTGCAGATCTTTTTTATGACCAAACAGCAACATTACAGACTAACTAAAGTTGAAAAAGTGAAAAAGCATAATAGGACCCCTTTAAGGAATCAAGGGCCAGATTTACTAAACAGGGCAAATTAGCGTTAGAGCGCTATTCCATAATAGTGCCGATGGGAGGGGAAAATTACGCGGGTGATTTACAAATAGAAAAGTGCACATTAAAGAACACAGACACAGCCAGATCATTCCTATATGACTAGCGCAATCTACCAAGAGCAACACAAATTACTGCTTGCTTTAAGACATTATTTTTTGGGGCATTAAATTATGGCGCAAATACCAGTAATTTGACGAGCACAAATGTTAGTAAATTTGCGTTGCATGATTCATTTTAGTACTCTCCTCCCATACATTTTGCGTCTGAAAAGGAAATTCCTACAAATGCATATTCAATAACCAGGCACAAAAGTAACTGTGTCCATACCTTTTCAGCGCTAATTATTCATTGTGCATCTTTAGTAAATCTGACAGTAGTCTTTTAATGCCAAAAGACAGTTTTGTGTTGGTGCAAGGTGTTAGCAAATCTGGCCCAAAGACTTTGCAGGTGACTCTGCAGTACCAGCTTCAGCCACTGGGGGTGATTCAGAAATTCAACAACTACTATTACCTCATATCATATCTCCTTTTTTTTAATGAGCTCAATCTGGCTTTAATAATATTCCTTAATTTCACATTATTCTCAGTAACAGGAGTTAAACATTACTCTATATAAACAATAGGAACATTTTAACGTTGCACTAAAATGTTTTCTCATTGCCATTAGTAATATGTATAGTTTATTGTGGTTTAATGAGTAAATACAGACATTAATTTCTGTGCTGCTAGTTTTCCCCAGCAGCTTTTACAGAGAATATATTGATGGATGCGTCAGTTTTAGTTCTTGTAAGCCGCGCTTAGCTTATCCACTTCCCTTTTGTTATTTGCTGTGTCAGACACCTGCATGAGAGAGTATACACACGAGCGAGCGTGAGGGATAGTGCTTTAACAGACACGTCTTTCACTCAGATTACTGTCCTCTGTGGAATACTCCGGAAAGCGTCTGGCCTAGTCAGATAGGCAGTTGTACAAGACACAGAACCTGGCAGCCTCCAAAATGAGGGTCA